GCTTAAGGTAGAATTCTATCATGCAGCATTTAGATAAAACTTTTCAAAGATGCAGAGCATAATAGACAAAGAACATTGAAAAGCATTGCTTGGTTATGACTTGAATAGAAGTTGATAGAAGGGTGGAGATAGAAGATGAAAACCCTATAATGTGAGAGGAAGAGGGAAGGTAAGACCAAAAGAGTATGATAAGTAGTAAATAATAGTAATAAAGGGATAAATGTGAGGAAGCTTGGAGAGACCTTCTCCATGGTGAAGCTATTGAAGTGGAGAATTGACCCAGATCTTTGGGAGAAGTCCTCTGTGGTGGGCAATGTAAAGCCATGTTCAGTCACTGCTGGCACAAGCCCTGGCATTGGGATGTCCATTAACTCATTTAACCCAAAAGATTCGTGTGTTCTACTTGAACGATGATTCAGAAAATGAGTGGAAGATTTCTTATCTTTTTATCAAAGTAGAATTGTTATGCAAGGATAGAATTTAGCTTATCACTTTGAGAGTAGTTCTGTTTAAATTGGTTGGTATTGGAAGTTTCCTGCCATTTCTTTTTTTCTCTAAATCCTGTGATTTCACATTTCATGATTGGCTTACAGGCCTTCTCCTGCTTCTTGGAGAGCTAGTTGAAATTGGCATGAACCCTATTTTTACAGAGTGGGAAAGTCAGAAGCCTTCCTTTCCAATTCTTGTCCTTAATTCCTCATGGTTCCCTGGTCTCCACCTCTGCTTGTGAATTTATTGTGTTAAGTCAACCCCACACAACTATCCAATGGAATTAGCTATTTTCCAAAAGATTTGGGGACTCACACAAGAGAAACATCACATTGCACGCCACACAAAAGACTCCCATTTCGCTTGTCCTCTCGTTATCTTCCACTTCTTTCCCCAAATCCACACTCCAGGATAGGTGAAACCCCCTGCAGAACACAGTGCAGTTCCTGCAGGTGCAGTATTTCTCTCGAGTAGCGCAGCAGGGAAGGATCCTGAGAAGCTGATATAATTTCCTCAACATCCCTCGGAAGTTTGAAAAAGAAAATTATGTTGTCCTTTGCATCCTCTTATCAAGAGATCGGAACTTGCATTCACTGAGAGCTCCCTGTGGAGTTGCTATTCCAAGCACTTTCACATAAGATGTCTGCTGAATCCTCAGGACCTTTCTGAGTATGTTACCTTCATGTTATAGATGAGGAAACTGAGTCTCAGAAAAGTGTCCCACTTTGAGGCCGTGCTGCTAGAAGGTGTTGGAATACATGTGGGGAAGTTCCTGCTCAAAAACAGAGGAACAAGGAAAGGCAAAGATTATGAAACAGCAGACAGTCTGCCTATCAGAGCCATGCCAAGAGGGACGGCTCCTTTTCCTCATTTCTTTTTCTCCATCCAAGACATCGAGACTCACTTCCCTTTGGAAATGCAAAGCACATTAAACAAGATTCTTTTGGTGCCTATTAAGAGATTATTTTTGTCTCTATTTGTAATGTTTCATTTACTATCAATGGGTATTTTATCTCACGTACACCTACATATTCCATTATGCTATTTACATTTGTTTAACACATTTAATTAAGAACATTGTTAAAAATTTAGAAAGACTTACCCTTTCATGATTTTTTGGAAATTGAAGGTAGCATTTAGCAGGTTTCCTTGTCAACCACAGTAGTCATTTTTAGAATTTTTAAGGGAGTAATTCAATTACCCACACAGTTCTGCTTTCTAAGAACATGCAAATGGAAATCTTTCCTTAAGCAAGCCAGCAAACCTACGAGCAATGTTCCAGACTCCAGCAACAACAATGAAAACATGACATCCTTCATCCCTTGATTGGGAAGACTGTCTGGTGAGGAGGGGCAGAAAGAACAAGGAAAATACCACAGGATGGTTTTCTACTTAGCTTTGGAGCCTAGAGCCATGTCCTTTGCTCATTGCAAAGAGGCTGCAATAAGGGACCCTTAGAGATTTTGAAGAGATGTAGAACTTTATCAATTCTAGTATCTAGCATCGTATCAAACATAAGCCATCATTGCTGATATCCTCCAATATGAGACTTTAATTTAGTAACTGATCAATTCTAAAACAGGCCAACATAAAATATAAACAATTCCTAGTGATAAAATCATCTACTATGTGAATTTGAGATAAAACTTGTCAGATTTACGTTTTGAAAATAATCTTTGCTGAGGACTAGAGAGCAGTCAGCTTTCTTTCTGTAAAATTCACCACCTTTCCTTTAAATCTCTACTCCCCTGAACTCCCTTCCTCCTGAAAAACTTGCTTCCTATTGAAATTGAAGTTTAATTTTGAAATAAAGTTTATAGCATGAACAATAGAAAATTGACATTTTTGTACATGATAAATGGTCAAATATTGGTGATTTCGTAGAGTTGATAGGGTTCAGTATAATATTTTTAGTGTAGTCTCGGTCTTTGTCTAAGTGTTTCTGGAAAGCCATGTTGGGACAAATTAACTTTGTTGCTTTGCTGACTTGCAATTTATTTCTTAATTTAGTCTTTATTAATCCTAATGACTTCTTTAGTTTCCTTTAGTACTACCATGACATTTAGCTCCAGTCTACAAACTCCAGACTAAGACCAGAATGGAGTTATTGGGAAGACCAAGGCAGTAAGAAAAAGTAGATAACCCTGTGTAGAGTAAACCCGCATTTCCTCAAGCGTGTGGTCCCTGGGTGATTTTTGGTGGCTGCTCCTTGAAGGAGCAGCTTGCTTAACTTTGAGATATAGCCTTCAACTGAATTTCAACAAAGCAGCCAGCGTGAGTCTTTTAAAATTCTTTTAAAGAAAGAAAGGATCTTTCTTTAGATTCATTCTCCTGTGGTCATCTTTGGGAGGCTAGAGGCCGATAATATCATTCTAGTTCTTTTTACCGTCACCTTTTTGTGGCAAGGAGCCATTCAGTAGCTACATGTAATCTTCATTGTAAATGAATAAGTGAAAAAGTCAATTGCTTATGGAAACTTTTTATTGCAGTATCACATATACCCAGAAAAGCTGCAAAAATCATAGGTCATTAGATTTTTACAAAGTATTTACATCCTGGGACCCAGACCCCAGATCAGGAAAAAAGTTGATACTAGAATGCCAGGAACTCTTTCATGTCTCTGTCAGCGTAATGACTCCCCAACAGTTTAACTCCCCACACTTTTGATACCATAGACAGTTTTGCTTCTATTTGAACTTCATATGGATGGAATCATAGAGTATGTGCTCTTTTGTATCTGGCTTCTTTTGTCCAGCATTATTTTTATGAAAACCATCTATGTTGTTGCAAGTATTTGTAGTGCATTCATTTCCCTTGCTGTATAAATTTCCATTTGATAAATATTACACAATTCATTTACCCATTTCTGCTATTGGTAGACATTTGGGTGGTTGTTGATATTTGTGTGATACAAATAGTGCTTCTATGAACATTTTTGACTGTGTCTTTGGATGATCATGTCTATATTTGTGTAGGATATATCCTAGGAATAGGATCAGTGAGCCAACGATCCATGCCTTTGGCTAAGCAGATATTGCCAGATGTTCATCCAAAGTGGTTGTACCAGTTTCCCCTCCCACCAGCAGTGCTGGAAAACTCCAGTTTCTCCTCATTACCACACTTAATATCATGTCTTTTACACTTTAGCCATTCTGACAGGTGTGTCATGAGTACAATGTGGTCTTAATTTGCACTTGTCATGATTAAACACTGTTGAGCACTTTTTAATGTATTTGTTGACAATTTGGATAAAGCAAGTCAGTTTTCATGAATATTAAGTAGGTAAAATAGGTGATATGTGGATATAGCAGAAAGCATATAGGTGATAATGAAATTACTAAAATTTAGTAAAGACTGCTTTCACTAATGAATCTTTTACTGATTGGTACATTCTATTCCTTTAACAAAGCTTCTGCTCCAATTAATTCAATTTAATAGAAGCTTATTGAGAGTTAATTATGAATAACCCCCTCTGTGGAATAATGTGAGACTACCAAAGTCCTTGTCATAGGCAGCTTCTCAGAGAAGGCCCTCTTTAAGCTAATTCTAGAAACATGAGCAGGATCTGACACTGGGGCAGAAAATGGAATCTAATGTATGGGAAAAGCCTAAATAAAGCCTGGATGTGTGAAGATATATGAATCTTTCAGGAAATTGCAAATGCAGGTGTGTTTACCATAACAGATAAAGAAAACTGCCAACTTGTTTTCTACAAGGAATTAAGACTTTAAAAATGACTCTAACCTTAGCCTCTGGAAGTTCCAAGGGCCAAGAGTAAGCTGGGCTTAGGGTTCAGTTACATCACAAATATCAAGTTGTGTAGCTTGAAGTATTTGAATTTAACTCATGTCATTTAGCAATGATTTTCACACCAAAAAAAACCATTCTCATGCATGAGTGGGGAAAATGCTTTATGGATAGCTTTTTGCTTTCCATGCTAGACCCGATGTCATCGCTCTAAAATATGGATGTGAGCAATACATTCACTGTCATTGAGAGTATCTGGAGAAATAATGTGAGCTCTTTAATTTTCACAGCTAAGATGCTGTTATAGATTAAACAAAAAAGCACTGGCAGCCTCTAGTTACCCAAATAATCATTTCATTATCTTTTCCTGGGTTGCAATTATTTATTTCTAACTAGTGTTTTACTATAGCATTAAAAATACTCCTTTCAGAACCAAAAGCAATAGCCAAATGTATTATCTTTGTCTGACACCGCATTTTAGTCTGCTATTAGAAAAATTAAAAGTTTTTTGTCGCCTTACATTTTAATCTATTTTAATGAAACGTTTCAAAACAATCAGGCAGAAGTTTTTTTTTCAACTAGTTTCAAAAATATTTGAAAAATTCAAAATGCTGTAGGGAAGGTCTGTAATTTCTGAATAAACCTTGTTCTATTTCAGGCCAAATATAACTCAGTTGTTGAAAAAAAATTATGATGTAGATAAATGTGGAACAAGTGTATCTCTCAAGTTGGTAATCACAGCGTGTGGTACTGTTTCCCTGTAGGTTGAAGAAAAAGTCCCAGTCGGTGGATATTACTGCTCCAGGGTTCAACCCTTTGGCTGGTGCAGGAAAGCAAATCCCACAAGCCAGTAAGACCCCTGCACCCAAGACGCCCATCACTGAAGAAGAGCAGAACAATGCAGCTAATACCCAGAAGCATCCTTCCCGGAGGAGTGACCTGAAGAGGTTCTACACCATTGGTGAGCACCAGACGTTTTATGCAAATGATAGATGAAATCCATCTAAACCGCACTGCGAATGTGTGGGTCTGTGGTTAAATGCCCTCTTGTTTATATAACTTGCATATTTTTCTGATGGTTTATATGGACATTTCTTACATGGCCTGAATACGGAGATGGAAAAACGCTGCAAACATTTAGCAAAGTGAAATAAGAGAGCACGCTTGAGGATTTTCTATAGCCTAGCCTAAGAGGAGTAAATTATAGATATATGTGGTTTTTCATTTTTAAGCTTATGTGCTACTATTTTCATTTTCACCATTCTCCAGCCAGCACCGTTTTTTGTTTCTGTTCTTTGCATTTTCCCTCTGGGCTCTCAAGTCTCTGACCCTGTTCTGTCAGGTTGTTAAGACAGTGGTTGGTGTCAGCTTGTAACTCACAAAGCCACGAAGTAAATGGGAAGATTTTACCTTCTGAGGGAGACCAAATTACAGTTGTGTTTTGGCCTTGCATGTGACGTTCTTCACTGTGGAGAGTCTGGAGAGATGGAGAGATCTGACATCCAGAACCCATGGATGAGAGAGTAGAGGCTATGGAAAGGGTCTTGCAGCCATTATCTCCCTTTTTCTCAGGTAGAATAATATCCAGTAACTTTGAATTTTAACAATTAATTGGAGTGTTGTAGGTAATCAATCTAAGTGAGTTGAATTGCCAACTTTTATGTGCCAATGTTTATCCATCATGTCTTTGACCTTGCTTTTTAACTAACACTAACAATTTTCAGCATCTTAGGTCTATTTCAGACAAAAGTTGCTCACCATATCCTATATGGTAGAGGATGTTGTGTCGGAGAGATAAATCTATCCAGGAAGAGGATGGGTGCTTTGGTCTTGCATATTATTTCATTTTGGAGAGATTTGGTCTTCTCCTAAAGCCTTAATAGTAGAGACTGTGGTTTAATGGGTTTACCAAAGTTACATTAAGGGGGTCGTGTTTCCTTTGGTATCCACCATCCACTCCACCCCAATATGGGATGTTTACAATTTTTTTCTCAGATATTTTAGCGTCCTTATCGTCTCTTGTTTTCGTTTTTTTGGTGAGGAAGATTAGCCCTGAGCTAACGTCCGTGCTAATCTTCCTTTACTTTTTGTATGTGGGATGCCTCCACAGCATGGCTGATGAGTGGAGAAGGTCCACGCTCAGGATCCAAACCTGTGAACCTGGGCTGCCAAAGCAGAGCACACGGAACTTTAACCACTGAGCCACGGGGCCAGCCCCAGTGTCCCTATCTAGAAATGATAATCAGGTTAGATTAGATTTCTGGTTCTGATTCCCACACCAATTTTCTGTGTGACCTTATCAAGTCCTTTTCCTCTGTCTTTGGGTTAAATGACTTCCTTCAAGCTTAAAGAGGTGCCGTCCTGTAGGTCTAGCAGTAATACTTCAGGATTTGGCTACTAAACCGCTTTTTCCCTTTCTGCCATTTTATATCCTCTTCCTATATCTACTCCCAGGTTTTCTCTTTCCAGATTAAGATGTTCAAGTCTTATTTTTCAACAGGCAACAAGCATGGTGTCTTTAAGGATGTCAATAGTGAACTAAGGAGAATTGATGCGAAACAGTGTAGACAGGTGCATATTTCCGTTTTTAAAACTTAGGATAGCAGAGTTCTAAAAATCAATCAACTAGAAAAAGCCCGTAAAGTTTACATAACTGCCTCTCCATTTTCCAAAGGCCTCTCCTCCCACACTTCAACGTGTCCACCACCTACTGTTGCTTTTCTGATTTATTAAGTGGCGAGAAGACTCAGTATTTTGCCTTCAGAAAGTAAAGTTTATTGTACAAACTCAATATTCTGTAAAGATAAAATGAGGGAGAAACGCTGACCATCTTCTCCATAGTAAATAAAAAGCTTAGCCTAGGAAACTGAAGGCTAAATGGTGAGTTTGGATTGCAGAAAGATGAACTGTGAGTTATTTTAAATGGCTCTACCACTAGTGAATTTTTAATTATCGTATTGAAACAATTTGACCCATAATCAATGTCATTGGCATGTCTATTATGTTAAAATATACATCTGAATTTCAACTTAGTGTGTTTATGTAACCCTTCCAATAATTTGGACCTGGAAACATTATTTTAAGGCTGAAATATTAGCAACCATGTAGTTGCCTGTATCAAAAAATCAATTCACAAAACAAGTCTACTTCAGTATCCGTTAGTAAAAGTATTACTAACAAGCAACAACAATTGAAATTACCATCATTGGTAATTACATGTACCAGGTATAAATTAAGCTCCTTTCTTCTATCTTGATTCATCCTTACAACAACTCTGAGAGATAGGTGTTATACTCTCTATTTTTATAGGCGAAGGCTAGAACCTTAGAGAAATTAAAGAAGGAGCCGTGATCCAGAGATACGAGACTCTGTGAATGAAATTAACCTTCTCTTGTGACATTTTAGAGTCAGCCTTCTGTGTCATTCGGAAGGATACCATCCCTCACTGCACAGAGGTGAACCAGAGGAGTTTCTATGGGTAATGCGGTGGAGTAAGATTTTTACTGAAGTTCCAATATAATCTCACTTAAGGAAACCATGCCAACTAAGCCGTCCACCAGCCAATATGTCCTTTCGTTGAAAAATAACTCTGTGACTCAATTTATGGTTTGCACAACTGGAAAAACCTGGGAGCCCTCTTGTGGCCAAGTAGAGTACTACATTTAAATTTAGCAATGCAGTGAAACACCATATTTAAGTGAAACATTATATTTAAATTCAAGCAATGGTTCTGGGGATTAAAGAATTTTCAAGTAAAAATAAGAAACTAGAAAATTTTGGAGTTATTTAAATGTCTCTTAGTGGCTGAGTGGCTGGGGTAGCTTCTTTAGATATTTCTTTTGATCTCAAAGTTGTTATCCTTCATGAACCTACGTATAGGATCTACTTCCTGTTGAGAGAACTCTAGGAAAGAGAAATTATAGCCTCCTTGTATAGACAATAGATTTGGGTCTTTAGTTATTCCTAACATCAGGAACATATTAAACCTAATATAGCAACAACAAAAAAAAGCAATGAGCATAAACTCGTTACTTTTTTATAAGAGAATAACCCATCTTACCTGAGTATAGTAAAATTTCATTGATTTGGAATAAGTAGAGGAAAAGCTATTTTCTATTGATGTGAAAGATATGAATCTTCAGATAAATTACAAGGAAAGTAATCACTCTCAGGACCATGGCCAAGGAAAGAGTTTTTTTCTACCCTGCTTCTGTCACTAACTGTATAATCTTGCAGTTATTTACCATCATTTGACCTTAATTTTCTTGTCTATATAGTGGAAGATTTAGACAAAATCTGTCTTTCTATTTTTCCGTCTATTAGATGACCATATGAAGTACTATATAAGTTTTGATTACTATGAAACAGATTACCACAAACTTAGCTATTTAAAACACCCGTTTATCAGCTCACAGTTATGTAGGTCAGAAGTCTGAAAGCAGGGCTGGGTTCTCTGCTCAGGCTCTCACAAGGCTAAAATCAAGGTGCTAGCTAGGCTGAGTTCTCATCTGGAGGATCAACTAGGGAAAGATATGCTTCCAAGCTCATTCCTGTTGGCAGAATTTAGTTCCTTGCAGTTGTAGGACTGAGGTCCCTAGTTCCTTGCTGGCTGTCAGCTGGGGGCCACTCTCAGCTTTTAGAGGCCACTCTCTTTCCTTGCCATGTGGCCCCCTCCTTCTTTGAGCCAGTAACTGTGCATCAAATCCTTCTCATCTGAAGCTCTGACTTCCTCTCCTGGGGCTGGCCAGGAAAGCTCTCTGCTTTTAAAGGATTCATATAGTTAGGTCAGGGTCACCCAGATGATCTTCCTGTCTTAAAGTCAACGTCACCTAATCATGGGAGTGATGTCCATCATATTCATAGTCTTGGGGATTATCCAAGTGTGTACATCTGAAGACCATCTTAGAATTCTGCCTAACGCATTTTACACCACTCAGCCAGTATGTACACACTCAACTACCAACACAACTCAAGCAAAATTTCCTGAAAACATTTCCCTTACTATCTATTCTGATCATTTTTATTCTATCCTATTTCATTTTTGTTTTTTAAAGATTGGCCCTGAGCTACCATCTGTTGCTAATCTTTTATTTTTTCTTCTCCTTCAACTCCCCAAAGCCCCCCAGTACGTAGTTGTATATTCTAGTTGTAGGTCCTTCTAGTTCTGCTATGTGGGATGCCACCTCAGCATGGCTTGATGAGCGGTGCTAGGTCCATGCCCAGGATCCAAACGGGTGAAATCTTGGGCCGGTTATGCAGAGCACATGAACTTAACCACTCGGCCAGGGGGCTGGCCCCCTATTTCATTTTAAAATTCAATCGCAACTCACTAAATTGATTGCATAGTCCATTGATGAGTTGTGACCTGCAGTTTGAAAAATCACTGGACTAGATATTTGAAGTCCTACAGATGCTTAAAATTCTATTGTTATTTTTGAATAAAAGTGTTAATTAGAACTAGGATAATACAACACTAAGTTAGTGGATAAACTCTAATAGTAAATAAATGCAAACAGAATAGAATTTTTCACTACTCCAATTTCTGTTTGTGTTCAATAAAACTACTTGACTTTGACAGTGTAGGTAAGAAAACTGTATCCTTCAAAATCATAGTTCCTACCTCAAAACAGAAGATGCAACCAAATACTAGTAGACTGAGATATTTGTAATATTTCATTTATTTGCTACCTTTGATTCAGAGTACTACCTGTAAAGATGTCTGAAAGAATTGTGACGTAGCATAGAGGCAGTGAAGAAGACTGTGCACACAGGACCCAAAGATGGCCCATTGCTCTCTAAGGTGGACCTGTACAATTCCGTATAATATTTCTTCCTTGATTCAGATTCTAGAACTGAAGTTTTTACATCTCTTTTGTAACTATTAGTCAAAGGTACTGATGTCTTTCCGTTCTGAGGATTTTCCCTCAACAATGAGGAGGAGGGGCAGCTCTTGAATGGATCTTCCTACAGAGTCATTCCGTGAAACACCAAATGCTGATTAGTCCCTGATCAGTCCTTGCTGGGAGAAAGCCTCCTAGGAGATGATGCTAGAAGAGAAAGAAAAGTAAAACAGAGCCCTGCTTGCAAGGTGGTCCTCCTGTGGGTGGGGGAAGGGAGCACCTGGTTAAAACAGCACATCAGTGAGCAGAATACAAGATGGATGCCCTAAATGCTGTGGCGCTGGGGCAATGAGTGCCAGCGGCAGAGGGCAGGGGAGGCTCACTTAAAGGGCTGCAGAATCCAAAAGATGGAGAAATCACATCAGATTGAGACACACACAGGCTCTTTCCTGGTTCCATAGATCCAGTCACCCTTCACCACCCGCCTCCCACCTTGCCTATGAGCTTTCTTGGCATCTGGCACTTCCCTATCCCCCTTACCTGCCTGTGTTGGCGAGTCTGTCTCCATACCAGGTCTCACTTCATGTGGTGGGGAATGATGCCATTCATTTCCTTCATCTCAGCCCTTAGTTTGAGGCACATAAAGTGCTAAATAAACGTTGGGAATGAGAGAGGGGAGGAGGAAAGAGGTGCTGGTGGAGGTCATGGTGATGAACCCCCCCATTCTCAGTGTGCAAGAGGAGAGGAGGCAATCTGCTAAGAGATCAGTTTCAGGGGGAAAGAGTTCTGGCGACTTCGGGGCTGCGGAGAACAGTGGAGAAGAGAATACAACCGTTGCATCTGTGAAAAGGAAAAAACGGTTAGAAATATCAAAGCCTTCTTTTGTTACTTATGCTATTTAAATGCTCTCTACAATTTCATAGAGAAGGCAGAACAGGGTGGAACTTGGCCTTCCCAGACTCCTGGCTCAGCAGGGCTGCCAAACAGGTCCATGAAGGGGGCTCCTGGTCAGGGATCTGATAAATACCTCTGGAACTTTTCTTCAGTTGAGATTTCTCCCCCTTAGGTCCTCACTTTGTCATGTGTGTCATGTGAACTGAGAGCCTTATAATCTCCTGTTTGCCCTCATGGGTCAGTCTCTACCTTCTTTCCTTCTATCTATGTTAACCTCACTGTACCATCTTCTCTCTGTAAGACACCATTGATGATAAATCAGTCAATGTTCTTTACACAGTAGTTTCCAGTTATATTCAGATGA